AATTGATAAATGAACAATAAATAAATGACTGAAGAACCCAGGATTTGATTTTAATTTTGGAATTGAAACACAGTCAGGAAAGTACGTACAATATATATATATATATAGAATATATGAGACGTAAACCTGCTTGGTGTAATTATTCTTCAAAGTCAAATTTATTACTAGTAATTTTCTTTTTAGTGGCGTTCTTTTTTTCGTTAAAAGATTAAAAAAGGAGCAGTTTTTAGTACAATAACTTTTAATAAAAATTAATCAAATGACGAACATTTTACACTGTTTAATCAGCGGAAAGTAGCTCTTCTTCAAAATAATTCAAACGATTCACCACTTCAAATCACCCCATGAATCAATTTTGGTTGAGTGAATCGAAAAAGGACTTCCAATCAGTAGATAGATTCAAGATTTCCTTAATTCCTTTTGAATTATTTTAAATTGTTTAAGGTATTTAACTGAATATTCAAATACATTGCGTTACGATATAAGATTTACATGATTCGGAATATAAAATCACTAAACATTTTTTTTGAGATTGTGCCCTTCTTCCTTTTCCGTACTTTTTTCCGGCGCTTTATACTTTTTAAAGTTTTGGCACGAAATGACTTCTGGTTTCTTTAGAATATTTTTACTTTCTTAGAATTTTTTTATTTTTTGTTAACTGTGATAGCTATTAAGGAAAAATAATTAAATAAAAACGATTATCTGCAAGTCGTTAAATTAAATTGAACAAATTGTCTAATAAACTGTGGTTTTGGTATGAAATAAGATTTGTTTTTATTAAAATGTACTTAGTGTATAAACATATGCAAACACAGCTGTCTGCATATGTTTATACACTAAGGGTTAAAATTGTAAATCCTAAGCTGTGAGGGTTGTAAATCCTAGTTATAACCTAATAACAATGTCAAATTTTGAGAACTCAGAAAAAAATTAAATAACACTGATAATTTTCTTTCTTATAAACACTAATTTATGCAATGACAAGCTAGCAGTAGGCCAATTTTGGAGACAATTTTACAAATTTACGTACCTATTTTCCTAAATTTGAGCTAGAAAATAAATAAGTCCTGAGTTTCAAACACTGCAACAGAACTTTCGCTAAATGTTCAGTCACTGATAATAATAAATGTCTAAGAAAACTGAAAAATTTTGCGCTTTAAGATCTGCATCGGTCGTGATATGTTCCTGACCTTTCGTCAATCTAGCTGGCATCTTCAAAGGTTTAACGTGCATGCACCAAATGAAGACCACAGTTTTATGCATTGATTAACTTTCTTTTTCAGAGCTATGGGTCCATTAAAAGAAGAATATTACACTGTTCAAAGACCATCTCATTCGCAATTAGCAACTGGCTTAAGACATCGGAGGGCGGCATCTGAAGCCGTTCCACCCGTTGGAGACTTTAATCGTCTTCAGATGGGCGGAGGTCGACCAGACGTCTTACCTGGCGAAGAAGGCGATGAACCAGACGTAGCCGAACCTGCCGAGCCTGGCGTGATTGGGCTACAAAGAAAAGACTCCGTGGCTAGAATGACATGGAATGGCCTGAACTACGTTGTTACGGTAAAATAATTCAATAGGAAAAGACCTGAAGTTTTTCCTCTAACCATAAATTAAAAATGCGAGTTTATCTTATTTAAATTGCTCGTATTATAAACCGTAGCACGATTATAATGAGCTTCTTTCCTTATAAACTTTAAATTGACTGAAAATGCAAATCTCATTAAATTGTATTTTAACGGCATTTACCATAATGCCTCTATCCGTTTAATATTCAGGAAATAAACTTCTGGTCCATCCCAAACCCGACAAACTTTTAATTGAATGATCCCAAATATTCTCAATCTGGATGTTAATTTGTTTCCATCATGACTGTTTAAAATACTGCCATTTATTAACGAGCGAATTCTAATTAAAATTGACTCCCTCCTGTCTGGGAATTTGTTGCTTCCGACTCAGAGCGCAAGAAAGGGTTTTGGCACCCTAATGATTAATCTTTAAAACATGTTTTTATTGTTTAGACACTGACGAGACATCGGCCAAGGCCTCGTTCGCAACAAAGCTCTTTATCCAGAAGCTTTCCACCGGATGTTCCTCAAACACCGCCACATGACGTGATGCCGTCTCCAGAAGAAGAGTTGGAGTCATTTTTTGTTAAACCTGACGCACACGAGAGAGTACGGCAGTTGGATCAGGACACTGTGGACCGCACTGAGAGGGTAAACTTTGCAGAGCCGCCATATAGAAATAGAGAGAGATACGCGGCAACGGCCAGTGGATGGCGAAGAGATCAAGATGAAGTGGTTCTGAGACATCCCGAGCATCGAGCCAACATTGGCTTATCTCGAATCTCTTCTACCACCCTGCATAGTATCAGGGATAATTCGGATAGGCGCCAATATGGTATGGGTTGGGTTGGAAGGTTGTTTGGGTGAGTAGTTCAGGAAAAATTTTGAAAAATACTTAATAAAATACTTTTTGTTTCAGGCGCGTGTACAGGAAATCTGTAGTATCGCATCCAGTAATTCAAGAACAATTAGAACACATGGATGATCATAGGCCATATTTCACTTATTGGATTACAATAGTTCAAATTCTAGTATTACTGATTTCAATATTTTGCTACGGTATCGGACCTTTTGGCTTTGACCTTAAGGCCAGATCCGGGCAGGTGTTGGTAACGAGTTTAAGTTTGCAGCAAGTTGACTACTTGGAACCTGCTAATTTCTGGTAAGCTGTCTTGTTTGGTTTCCCGTATACTAAAACGTAATAAATGATGTTGCGTTTAATAGGATAGGGCCTAGAGCTGCGGATCTCATTCATCTAGGAGCCAAGTTTGCACCGTGCATGCGAGTAGACGACAAAATCACGCAGCAGATAGAAAAAACTCGGAAAAAAGAGAAGGAAACTGCGTGTTGTATCAGAAATGATGATTCCGGTTGCGTGCAGTCGTCTCAAGCAGACTGTTCGGTAAGCTAAGACTATATTAAAACTTAATTTCTGGATTTTTGCAACAAAATGCGTTTCGATATAACCAATTACTCAAACGGTGTGTTTGTGCTGCATCTTAGGTCAGAGGATTGCGACCAACAGTAAGTTACTTGGACGATGTAAGAGAAACACATTTAAGTACTCGTACTAGTTTTTAGAGTATTGCAAAAATTGCTGTATTTTTTTAACAGTAATGTTTCTTTTGTGATATTTTTAATGAATGATATTTTTTTTAATCAATGTCGTATTTTTTATTTTTTTATTAAAGTAAATCTAAAATAAACTTTGAATGAGGTATGTTTCAATGTAGTGTCAATCATCCATGTTAAAGCGGGGGAAATGATCGCAAACTATTCTTCTTTTTAGAAAGCGATATCGACTTGGATCAAATGGACGTCGGTGGCCACTGGACCTGGGGGCCGCATTTCTGGCTCAGTATGTGGTTTAGATCCCAAGTAAGTTTTTTCAATTTAAATTCATGTTTATTTAGGGTGTAAATGAAAGTGGAATAACTAGTCATTTCACTGTTGCGGATAAAAGCAAAAAAATGTGTAACTTTTTTCGACTGCCATTTCCGATGGGATTAAATGCTTGAAAATTACTTTTATTGAGTGAAAGTTAAAAATTGGGTTAGTAGTAGTATTGCGGCCTACCTTGCCACTCCTGATCTTCGCCAACCAGGCATTGACAAAGGTCCCCCTGACCTTGACCCCTGAAAGGCAATGATACGTCTCCACTAAAAGAAAGACAATTCTATGCCGGAGGGTGTGGAGGCCCTCCGATGGTAGACTCCTAATTGGTGGTATGATGTATCCTCCGCCATTTCACATTGTAGACACACGGGGGTTATCACCAATTTTTAGGTGTAAGTGTCTATTCAGACCAAAGTTCTGAAGGCCCATCGCTTGACATCATGACGATTGTACGTGATATATTTTGTACTGCTTTATTATATTTTTTAATTTTTTATCATTGTTGACTGTACTGTACGAAGTTTATGTTGTAGTATTTTGAATTTTTTTTACTCGCTTTGTCCATAAAATTTGTGAATTTTTCCGTGGCAATAAAGTATATTTTGAGTTGAGTTGAGACATCAACCATTTGGGTGTTGCGTTTGCGTCACTTGGGGTTCCTTGAAACTCTGGCTTGTCTACAGTAGTCATTTAGAGCGCTTGCGACTTATCGGTTACTTAACCCTGTGTGGGGTTCGGCAGTTATTGGGCTCTCAGAAGGGCCTAGCTTCGCCAATGCATCGGCCCACTTGTTTCCAGCGAACCCCATGTGGGTTTAAAAAAAAAACTTGTTTTAAAAATTGGGTTGGTTGTATATAGATAAACACTTTTAGAGTACTGGTAAGTTTTTCGGGTTTTTAGAGCCCCCAGAAATTAAATTTCTTCTTAACGTTTCGCAACCACACGTGGTTTGCCTCTTCAGAGGTTATTTGCTGGAAAGCTTACATTGCACTGATGAAAAAAAATCGAAAGCCTCTCTCTACTTTTAGACTACTTCGACTATATCTTATTTTACTCATCTTTCAGGTATTGTGATGCTCCTGCTAGTGTCCACCCGTTCGAGTGGCCGGACGACATAACAAAGTGGCCGATTTGCCGCAAAACCAACACGCAAATTTCGAATGCAGTAGCAAATCGGCGAGATAAAAGCGCCCCTCGTGATAAACTTGCCGAGCATATGGTTTGTGAGGTGATCGGGCATCCTTGCTGTATTGGTATACATGGGGAATGCCGGATTACCACCAAAGAGTACTGCGACTTTGTTCGCGGCACTTTCCATGAAGAAGCTTCATTGTGTTCACAGGTTTGTACAAGTTCAACATGTTTGTTTCTATACGTAGTCACATAGGTGACTATTTGAAACAATATCATTACATTCATTTCGTTAAATTGAAACATACATACCTACATAAAATTTAAAAATATTGATCACACTGTGATGGGAAGCTAAAAAACGCCGTGCTTTCGTTGGAGCTTCGCTTTTAAGTGCCGTAAGAGTTTACTAAATTTTTAACTACATCCAAATTTTTACAAAATACCATGAAAAACTAAAACAAGGTACGTTTTCCTTTCGACAACTTTTCGTCTGACACTACGCCCATGAGGCATTGTAAACTAAAAACAGCAGAAAACAGAAAGAGTAACATTTAAAAACATATGCTTGGTTTAACTGTAAAAAGAAATAAAATACAAATTTGCTCAAATGAGGAAATCTCTGTGTTTCTCCATCAGCTTATCTCGCATTCATTCATCCGATCGATTTTTTTTACAATCCTTCAAACATTTCAAGTAACAATGGCTATCTATAAACGCCTATGTGATCCCCCTAATATTTCAAATGCATATTTACTTGATTTATTATTTAACTTTACAGGTATCCTGTTTGAACGATGTATGCGGAATGATACCATTTTTCTTCCCGGATATGCCAGATCAATTCTATCGACTCTGGACTTCGCTCTTTTTACATGCCGGTATCGTACAACTGATCATCACAGTGCTACTCCAATATCATATGATGCGAGGACTGGAAAAATTCACGGGATCATTAAGGATAGGGATCATTTACATTGGGTCTGGAGTAGCTGGAAATTTGGGGAGTGCCATTTTTGTACCGTATCGCGCCGATGTAAGTAACTTTATTGAGAAGACCGTTCTTGTTTGACTAAGATGGACGTGAATGTTTTAGGTTGGACCTGCCGGCTCGCAGTTTGGCCTCCTCGCCTGTCTCATCGTAGAACTCCTAAACGCCTGGCCGATGCTCAAACGCCCCAAGAGGGCACTTGCAAAAATGATCGGAACTACCATAGTGCTGTTCATCGTTGGTTTGCTGCCCTGGGTAGACAACTACGCCCATCTGTTCGGATTTGTGTTTGGCTTTTTACTGAGTTATGCGCTACTTCCTTTCCTATCATTCGGGGACTACGATCGCCATAAAAAGGTACTGCTCATATGGGTGTGCCTTTTAACGGCCCTCCTGTTATTTGTGATCTTGCTGCTGCTATTCTATATCATTCCCGTGTATGACTGCAAGGTATGTTCGTACTTCAATTGCTTTCCTTTCACCTCAGACTTTTGTGCGAGTCAGAATATTAACTTCAAAAGGGAAGAGCCCATAGTATGACACACGGGATTACGGTGTGTTGTCTTAGTGGATGGCGTGAATTTCCACGTTCGTTCGATGGACTCGTTGTTTTTATAACTTTTGCTTCTGGAAGCATTAGATATGTTTCCAGGGCATCATTTCTGCTGCTGAGAAATAACGAATAATAATTTCAAGTTTCCCAAATCATTCATAACATTGACTGGTAGACTTATGTTGGTCATTACGTGATCTACCGGTTTTTCAAGCATATACTCGTTTTTATGTATTTTACTATTTTATATCTCGTGGTTTGTGACGTGTGATTTGTGAAAAAAAACTAGTGACGTTTTGCTGTTTATTCATGTTTAATGGAAATTTTGTTACTGGCCTAAGTACTAATATAGAACATATTTTGTTATCGTTATGTGATTGTAAGTTTACATTCCGAATTTGATTTGCTCAAACTGATTCTAGTGTTTGTTAAGTTTATATTTAGGCATATGAAATTCCGTTTAAACTCGACTGAGCTGCATTTAAGTATATATTGCACACAGAAATTAACTGGTTGGTTTCCCTAGATCTATAGTATTGCTTCTTACAACATGGGACAAAACTTTTTACAATCCCCAACATAAACTTGGTATTTTCAATGTCTTTCTTCAGTTGCAAGTGAATGTGCGGTTAGCCCTATTACATAAACAATTAAGTATCTAATCATTGAGTCACAACCAAGTATTTAACATTCGTCGATTATTTGGCTACTTTTTTAAGGCTTTTGACCTAATCTGCCTTTGGCATGCGGAATATAGTAAATTAAATTTTACACGAACTGTATAATTTGCATCAACCTATTTCTACAGCTCAAATGGAGAAACCATTGTATATGATCTCTTCCGCATGAAGGCACAAATTGGATCATAAAACCGTAATACCAGTTGGCAACATTCCAGTCGCACGATAGCGACTTGGTTTCAAATACCTTTCGGACTGAATAATACAATTTCCTGAATATTTGAATAATCCTGAGTATGTAAATACTAATATGTGGTTTTTAAGGAAGACATTAAATAGGGCTGTACAGGGTGACACAAAAGTTCGGAGACGACTTGTTTTAATCCTAACTTTTATTAAACATAAAAATTCAACTAAATTATACATATTCCAAAGCCAAAAAAATTCTCTACAAAATCCATAAACAACAATTCGAAATGGCCTCCTTCAGCCGACACACCGGCTTGCAGACATTTTTGACGCTGGCCGCAAGTGTTTTTTCTGAGATTTCGTCCCACGCCGTTTGGAGACAACAACTAAATTGCGACAAACTTGCGAAGTCCATCGGATTCAGGTCGGGCGAGTTGGACGGCCAGAAAGTCTTATCACAGGCGACGATTTTGTTGATTTTGCAATAATCCAAGGGTGACCTCGCAGAATGAGCCGGCGCCCAATCCTGTCTAGCGCCGATTTTTGAAGTGTCGGCTCCAGGGAATCACACACAATCATTCAAAATGAGCTCTTGGTAGACTTGGGAGTTGATCTTGACACCCCGGTCGACAAACACCAGCGGTGTCTTCCCGTTTTTCGAAATTTTCCGCCCACACCTTGACCGATTTCGGAAAGTGGCGTCGCTGAACTCGGGCATTTTTTCTAAAAATGCATTGTTAGCCTGAAGGAGCAGAAAATTCTAAAAAATTCCAAATGAGTTCCGAAGAACGGGGGTCGTTGCGTTGGTCGGTCTTCCGCTTCGAGGCCTGTCGGCCCCGTTGTGTTCAACTCCTCGTACCGTTTAATGGTTCTGTAGATCGTGCTGCTTGAAATACGGAGGAGTTTTGTGATGTCAGCCGGCGACTTTCCCGATTCGAACAATTTTACGACGGCAACACGGTTTGTTTCACGACTCATAGCGAAAAACGAAAAAAACAATTTAATATGGTAAGCAAACGTAACTTAACGTAGAGAATTTAACGGGCTACACCATAACCTCCACGTCAAAAACACCATTGACATTTAAATTTTCGAAATTTTTCTCCGAACTTTTGGGTCAACCTGTATATGCGGGCAAGGAAATTAAGCAAACTATAATCTAGAGAAATTCAACTAAACAGAACAGTAAACCAAAAAAGTTGCTTTCCATTTGTATTTCCCTGCTAAACTCGGTAATACTTTTAGCATGGTCCAAACATCACCGATATATAACTATTTACTATAAAAATATCAGCACGCATTTCGATTCATACTGTTCTTAAACATTCCCCGAAGTCGCGCAAAACAATTTTAACTGGTCGTGTTCTTTTGCAAACTATTGATAAGCTCATTACAAACGCAGGTTAGCCATTATGAACATTTAATTTGTTAATTAGCTAGAGGATAATCTAGTGTGTGTAAGCAACCAAAAAAAATGGAGATTGGTGACAAGGACAGAAAAAATTGTGAACCCTTTCAAAGTACAGTGAGGAATTATCTGTGCTGTACCGTATATTATAAATTTAATAACAAGAACTTTATAAAAATTATGTGATAATTATACGGATTTTGCAACTGCAGATATACCCTTCCATGGGTATGTATTAGCGATTTTTATTTGTAAGGGTTAAATGTAGTTGATGAAACTGCTTTAGAACAATCTACTCCTTTTAGAATACGTTTAAACATTTCTCTGGATATCAAAAACGCGGATTTTATTGAATATTGTGTTAGAGAACAGTTTCATCGAACTCGTTCATATTTATTTGCAACGAACTACTTCAAGTAATTATTTGCCAAGAAGTACAGTGAACTGCTTACTTTCAAAGATGTAAATTATCTAAAAGTTACCGTTCTTAGCTTTAAATCCCTATTGTCGTATGGACTGTCCTATTTTCATATACTCTTTGCACTCGTGGGTGTTTAAAGCGGCTAACATTAAAATAATGACACTTTGATTAATTGAAAAAAATGCCCCAAAATAATTGTTTTAACTCAGTAATTTAAAGTGAATAATATAATATTTCAGAGTGTTCTAAAGGACGTCACTTGTTTATATATCGCTGTTAATTTCAAATTGTGTTTTTTAATGCTTAGCGTTGATTCGTGCATGAGTAGCTATGACGAGAATATAATGGAAAAGTAATATAGGTATATTAAAGAACATTAAAAATGTAATTTCAACGGTCAAGCTTCAAGGAAAACTAGACTTTTGATTGCTGTAAATGATCATATCAAAATAGGGCAGACCAAAAAAAATCATGTATGTATTGTACGTCATTTTCGAAGGTCTTATTTATATATACTACAAAACTTGGGATTATTGAAATAAAAACTAAAAATATTTTCAATATTATAGACAATGTATCATAAGTAGAACATACTTAAGGCATGAATGACGTATTTAAAAGTGTGTATATATAATATTGCTAAGTAAAATGAGGTACCTTCTTTAATTCTAGGAATTTGTACTTAATTTTTGAATCACAAGACCCTGTTCATGAAATGTGCGTACATTTTAGAATATCCAACGGTGACAACGCGCAATGTAATTTACACAATAGCATTGTTTCCATTTCAATTGAAAACGGTTTATAACTAATACAGCTTTCTCCATATTACAATTGAAGATTACTTATTTATTTAGTTGAAGAACTCCTAGAAATTCGTGGATATTCTTAATGTAAGCAAGGTAAATACGACTACTAAGATAACTTTTGAATGTAAAGTTGATAAACCCTTTAGGTGCGATACTCGACCATTTTGTTTTATTTTGTAATACTCCAATTAAAAACTGAAACCCTGACTTATATTGAAGAATGATTGTTTCTTTTCGGCCCCATACTAATTTTCATACTTTCTATCATAAATCATCCGCCAAACCAAAACCTAATAGATGAAAGTTATAGAAATAGCAGAACCTGCATTCTGCAGTCAGTAATAAAGTCTCCATAAATCAGTTATTTTTCAAAATGTTTTCTTAGTTTGCAATTTTACTTCAGTTTAATTAGCAAAATCATAAAAGTAAATGTTGTTAGGCTCCTTAAAAATAATAAAATTAACTGTAAAGCCGTTTGAAGCACTTTATTTGAACAATAAAATATAAAATGATATTTTGAACGAGAGACTATGTATACAAAAAGTCTCCATACACTAACATTGCTTTCTTAAAAATAGTTATCTTAAAGTATAATATTTTGTAAAGTTTTCATTGGCTATAATAATGGCAACAAGCCTTTCCGGAAGACAATACAATTTTTCTTGCAACTTCTGGTGGAATGCTTTCCCGTTCTTGTCTATCCTATTTTTCTCTTCTTATTTTTCCTTATTTCTATCTTGGTGTTTTCTCACCCGACGCTTTAACTCTTCCCACTGGTATTCTTTTGGTTAATGCCCAGTGATTGCGGTGGTGTATGAAGTTGTTGGCGGATATGCCATTATATATCATCCATTCACGTACAAGCCTAGCAGTGTGCTTACGATCGTTATCTTGTTGGACTAAATCACGCCCGACGAGAGCAGTTTTTGAACACTTGCTTGCAAATTATTCCTTAAGATATTGTAGCATGTTACATAATACAATGAAAATTAAATTGCCTGTTCCATTGGCTGACATGCAGCCCCACAATAAAACATTACCTCCTCCGTGCTTCATAGTAGGGCAAATATTTTCACTTTTTTCTGCTGCATTTTTTCCTCCATACTTTATTCCGGCCATCTGACCCAAAAAGGTTAATGTTTCATCACTAAAAATAACACTTTCCCAAAACTGATTGGCTTTGTTAACATGTTGCCGCGCAAATTCGAGTCGTTTTTTTCTCTTTTTTTCTGAAACTAATGAAACTCTAAATTTTCTTCTTGCAACGCGGCCGTTGTAACACGCTCGTTTCTTATTGATTGAGGGGTAACACTTTTTGGAGCACTTATTTTAGAATTACGTCTAATTTTTCTCATAACACTGGACTCTTCCCGTGCAGTTAACTTCCTGTGACGACCAGAGCGAGGCCGCACTTTATATGAACCGGTATATTTGTACTGGTTTACGACGTACTGTACAGTGAAATATGAATTTCCAATTATTTTGCCAATATATCTAAAATATTCTTTCTTCCTCCACAAATCACCACAGAAATAGTAATTTTGCAATGCTGAGCACTCATTTTTGATCTACTACAAAAACACAGACTTAAATGTGACGTTTGTAAACAAATATGATTAATTTGTTTGAGGCGATACTTAACAAGCCAACTTGATAAACTGTGCTAAGAATTACTGATGCGTCGCTCGGTAATTGATGCTGAATAGCCCTTTTTTAAGTGTCTGGAGACTATTTATATAATGTCTCGATCCTAATATCAATGTATCTACAACTGTTATATAATGACTATAATTTGGCACTCTTTCAAATGTCATAATGCTGTTTAGTACCGCACTAGTAGGTAATAAATCTGTCGATCATTGTCAAAGTTGTATCTTAAAATTGTACATTTTAAAATAAGTTCAAGCGATGATCCTTCTGATATTGAGAACGAAGCTTTTAATGTTGTTTCGCATCTTGTGCCAGATAAATTACGGAAGAAATAAATACCAAGAAGCTTTGGTCGGTACCCGAAATGGTACAGTGAACAAAAAATACACCCATAAAAAACATCGAAAACCAAATGGACGAAGGTTTATCTGTTTTGCTTACTTTGTTAACATATACTATTAAAAAAATTCTCGCTTGTTAAGTTTAGTATCTTTCTTTTACTGCACGATTTCTGGTACCGATCAAAAACTTCTTGGTATTTCTTCCGTGGTTTCCCTGGCACAAGATCCGAAACAATATTAAAAGCTTCACTCTTAAAATCGCATGGCAGATCATCGCTTGAATTCATTAGCAAATGTGTAATTTTCCTAGGTTCTGTATTCAATTTTATAACTAATTATTTTTAATCAAAAATAATTAAAATAATAATCGTTATAGTTGTAAAGAAAATATAGTACGTAATACGTAGGATATTATATTATTAACCGCACTTACTGCGATTACACGACTTGCCCTACAGCCTCGTCGTCAAATCTTCACATGCTTGCGTTAATAATATTCATATCCTACTGGTTACGTAAATAACTATTATTTTTATTGTTGAAATAAGGTGTTTCAAGTGACTTTACCTTCAATAAAGACAATAATTTCCTCGGCAAAGTGCGGGTTTTGCGATCGCTAATTTCAGGCTAAACCCAGCTGATGAAAGCTAATAGGCTCGAAACCGGCCCTGGGGGTTGCCTGAAGTTAGCGAGCCTCAAAAATTGCGAAATCTTATTTATCTTCAATTTTACTACTTGTAAGCAAAGTGCCGATATTTACATGAAATGTTTTTCTAATTAAATCGAAACAAAATAGCAAACTAAGAAGGAATACAAAAAATTACTGATGTATGAAGACTTTTTTACAGACTGTACATTCGATTAAAGTAAATTCAATATGAAAAATTTCAAACTTGCTTCCGTAGTCCAGACCTGAATTAACTGGTATACTTTATTACTATGATCCGTTTCAAGTATTAGAAACAATGTAACATAATTTTTTATAAGAATTTTAGACTAATATATTGTAACATTGTGAATCATATAAACGACCCTATAGTAGAGTTTCCTTTTGCAGATCATGTCAATACTATTGTTTTGAACGTTTACTGATTGTCGCAGTATTATATTTCTTTGTAAACGCATCAACATTTGGCATTTTCCTTTTTGTATAAATTATAACGTTATTATGAGATTCAGAGTTTTCAGGTTTCAAGATACTGTTGCTTTGGAGGCTTTACTTGGACTGTTTGTTAAAAAAACAGCTGTGCGTGCGTTTAAAACAGTTAAGTACGCATATAAATTTAACTTTTCATCAAAAAGGGAAGTTAAATATAGTGCGTATTGAAATAATTTAAACGTTTTTTGGTGATAATGTGAAAAACCTCTTATTTTAATAATAATCTAAATTACATGACTGATCTCTTTTGTTGAGATTTGAAAGAAATTCGCGCATCGTCGAGAACCCTTGTACAGTTCCCCTTTGTAATTATCAGGTGTTTACACTATTAAGACCAAAGCCTTACGATTAATATTATATAATAAATAAATTCTGCACATATTACATCTCAGTTGTGTTTTAATGTGTTTTTACCTAAGCAAGACTGCAAAGTTCTAACTACTTTAAACTTACCTGGTTTATTGGGATACTCATTTCTCTCCTGCCTAAAGACGCTATTAAAATATATTCTGGAATCAACTCATTAATTACATTACTATGGAAACTATATCCAGAATACCATTCTAGCTTGTATAACATATATTTATCTAAATGTTGCACTTATCATCAGCATAAATTTCATAAACTACGTTAGTATATACAGTTTTAAACTAGAAATAAAAGCTATATCATGTAGTGTATTACCTTTGCAAAAAAGTTGATCACAACATGCATCGGTAAATTTTGTGCGCAAAGGTAATCGGTATACTTAAAAATAACGGTAATGCCAAAAATGTTATGTAGTGTATAATACAGTCCGTAACATGGACATTATAATTTCCTACCAAAAAATGAGATACTTCTTACTTGATAACAGGTGTTATTAAACATAAAATTGTCCTGTTACAACACCATACTTTATTTATTACAAGGGTATATTATACTCTTGGTGTTTGTTACCTTAGGCAGTACTAATCATATTTTTTTCTTCGACAACTATTTACAGAAAACAAACCACACAGGGTGTTAATGTATCTGAAAAATCTTAATTTTTTAAATATAATATTCCTAATCTAATATGTAAAAAATTCGTTTTTATTTTTGGCAAAATAGGAAGGCCAACTACACCAACCAATCGACACGGTAAACACCCTGTATGCTGAACTAAACACGGAACTACATTAAGAGAAAACATATTCCAATAATAGTGACAAGTTAGCATTGATTTGGAAAATATCTGCCTAGAAATTATGCTTACATTATGATGTGGTTTATTTGTCTGTATGGAAAAAGAATTGATATTGCATACATATAATTTGGAAAATATAATTTCAAGTAGAAAGTGAAAAAATGTGTCACTTTTGCCATCTTTGATATAAAATTAATTTTCTGCGTGTAACTGCATCATGAAGCACAAGGTTTAAATTGGAAAGAGTCACGTTGAGCCCAATAGACTTGGGAATTAAAATGATTGCTACCGAATTCAAATCTATAATTTTGTTGAAAACAACTGATAACTAAATATGCTTAATAGAAATGTTAACATCGTTTAAAAAATATTTGTTGTAACGAAACTTGTGTTTTCTTAATTTACAAAAATGTTGTGATATGATGGCATTTCTCTATAACATATTAGTTTTTGTTTGCAGATATGTTAATTTTTTAAAGGTTTCTATACACAGTTTTTATCGATCAAATCAACTAATCTTTTGTGTATAACTATGGGCCTTTAACATTAAAAGGGAACGTTAGAATCTGAGAATATTCTCAAAACTAAAGGGAATCTATTAAAACGTCGGTGGTTCAAATAAAGAAATTAGTTAAAACAGAACAGAATTCGTGAATATATTATAGTAAAATATAATATATATTATATTATATTATATATAGATGTATGCAGAGTAGCAATCTGAATTGACACATTTTCAGTTTGCTAATGAAACGTTCCTGTAACTACTGATTCGAGGATTTTGTAATCCTCTAAAGAAAAACAACCTATGTGTTAAATGGCATCCAAGCATTTTTAATAGCGAGAATTAACTAATAAATTATATCACTAGATAGAGCCGCCTAAAATTACTTTAATATTCAGATACTTATACATATAGAGACAACTTTTCTGTGAGCATATCGGAAAATCAATGCTTATTAGTTAAAACCCCATATGAAACGTCAAATCGTATCAAAACGCTTTAAAACATCTAATGACTAAATTTTATATATGCCAGTAGGCTTATTTCATTTGAATACAAAAATATTTACTTTCAAACAGATTCAGTGATAGTTGGTATAATTGGAACAAAAAAGAAGTTGATAATACCAAAGTTACATTCATGTTCTTAATTAAACCATAAAAAATTGAAGTACGAAAAACTGTTTTTCAATAACTTATTCTTCCTTCACTTAATTCAATGGTCGTGTAATTGGTGTTGCAACAACAATCTCTATTTTGCACGGTTGTATAAAGGCTATTGATAAAAACCGTTATGATTATATCATAAAGGCAGAATGAGAACGCGACGACAGCAACTTATGTTTTTTTGAGCTTATAAAGTTTTAACTCACCTTTCGTCATCTTTAAGTATGAGCAAAATCATGGAATCAAAAACATCCTCAAAGACAAAACGTTAACCACTTCAAATCATATAATAATAATGTAGTTGATAATGCACCAGATTAATTACTAACTAAAAATCACACGTTTTCAAAATTGTTTGCAATTTCTAACATACTGGGCAATGGTGATTATTAATAATGCGTATATCGACTCTGATTTAGTCCACTATTCTTCAATAGCAATCCGTAGTTACTCATTCACTTTAGATGGAATTTATTTAGGATAAACCAATGCGACATAACATCGGCTTGAATTATCATTAATAATCAATATTGCACTTAACTTACTGAAGCATTATAAATTAAAGTAGTTCAGGTTAATGCCACGTTTGCTTCGTCAGATTTATTTCATCAACATAAGAAAAATCAAGATTTAATTTAAAAATGAAAATAATCATTTTTAAATGCATGTGTATAGTGTTGACAAACGAAAGAGGAAAATCGAGTATCAGTAATAGAAAACATTATTGAGCGGTTTCAATGTTTCTCCCAGAACTACTCAAGGATTTTGATGGCAAATTGTCACCTTGGGCCCAATATTATTCATAAAAGCTAAATGGACTGATCTAAATCATCAGGATATTCAAAAATGTGTAACTGACATTCAATTTCAAAAGGCGCGCTACACTGTACCGAGGCTTAGTTTTCCTCAGAGTTTTGTCAAACAATAAACGATTACTTTGCGTTGCTTACGTGTGGTATGGCGTTACATAAGTAGCTGGAAACAAGCCTCTACGATGACCGATTTCGCCATGCCACCAATGTTGATCAGAACGATCTGCACAAACAAAAAACATATATTTCAACAGGCGTTATTTTCGAATATTACATTGAGTTAGCGTTGGTTCGTTGCCGTTTTAAGGGGTACATTTTAATTAGGTTTTACGTCCGAAAATATCCCTAGTTTTCTGCAGGGTGATTCACGGTCGAGGGCGTATTAAGTCCATATCCCATGCACCCAGTTATACGACGATACGAAAGTGTTTCTATTGGTAGGATATCTGTCAGTACGTACGAAGACGCACGACTTGGCAGATCTCCAAGCAATAGAAAAACGTTCGTATCATCGATATAAACGGATGCAGGAGACATGGGTTTGAAGCCCGTGTCCCATATGGGTACCAGAACATATTTCATAACATAAAATAAACGAATAGTTCATAACAAGTGTTTTTTTTTAAATGATTTGTATCGATCCCTGAGTGGTATTCGAGAATCTCACAACAGCAGTCTTGCCGTTATACAGTTTATCAGGAGGTTTTCCACTGATATTGTAGGTACTCTGAAAGTATGTTCCTCCTCAATTTTACTTTCATCTGCTTGAGCATCCATTGAAACAATCAACTTATTTTCCGAACCCTTGTCTAGATATGAACGTCTGAACTTTGGCGAAAATAAACAAAGTGAAATTACATTTTTGAACATTAATTTCATAATAATATTCAAAACGCACTTAAATTCCTCCGATACTCGTAAAAAGTCGAGACATGTGCTTTGTCTACGTTTTAATTATTATTTATAACGGGTTATTCAATTCGAGGTTGGGAAAGTAAAACCTTGCTATTTGATATCTGTCAAAGGTAAACGTCATCAGAAGCGTTTTTTGTTTTAGTTGAAGGTTTGCCATTTTGGAATATGGATCGTTTAACTGTCGAAGAACGCGTAAAAATTATTAAATGTTACTATAAAAATGGTGATTCTGCTGTATCAACGTTTAGGGCTTTACGAGCAGATTACGGTGGACATAATCGACCCACAGAGCAAACAATTTCGAACACAGTGGAAAAATGTGAAGAGACTGGATCGGTTACTGATATTGTAAGGCCTGTATCATCGCAACATTCGTTCAGCTGAAAATATCGCTGTTGTTGCTCAAAGTGTGGAGGAAGACCCGAATTCGTCGATTCCCCAACGTAGTCAACATTTGGGCTTGTCTCACTGCTCATTGTATCGAATTTTGCAATTGGATTTGAAGCTCCATCCATACAAAGTCCAACTGACTCCAGAACTTACGTTTCAAGACCATGGGCAACGCAAAACATACGCAAATTGGGTGATTGAACAACAAGCCGTTGACGATGATTTTTCGAACCGAATGTTCTTCAGCGATGAGGTTCATTTTTCGCTCGGTGGTTACGTGAATAAACAGAACAGTCGTATATGGGGGCTCTCAAAATCCTCAGGTGATCGCAGAAAGGCCTTTGCATCCTGAAAAAGTGACCGTAGGGTGTGCATTATGGTCCGGTGGTGTTATTGGCCCGTATTTTTTTGAAAACGATCAAAGAGCCATAACAGTCAATTCTGAGCGCTTTAGGCGCATGTCAACCGATTATTTTTGGAGAGAAATTGAAGATCACACAACACTGACAGTTACAGCCCTATAGCAAGACAAATTTTCAGGTCGCGTAATTTCGAGATTGAGTGATGTCAAGTGGCTCGCAAGATCCTGCGACTTAACACTGTTCCGATGACGATAAGCTTTCAAACAAACCACTTATGAAGAGGCACTCGTGCTTGCGGAACGTCAGGAAGAAATTCTACCGAATGACGGCCTAAAAACCCGAAAAACACATTAGTTTCAAGGAATGGCCTCGAAAGTCTATCTCTTTTGATTACCCTATAGGCCTAAAATATGTTCAGCAATGCAAGTACATGGTGTTTCCTCGTAAGTTCACTCCCCCTATATCGTTTATTCAAAAAAAATTGTGAGTGACCAGCACAAAAGTTGTTTAATTTTACTTAAATTCTTTAAATCTGAATTTAAAAAATAAAAATATAAAACACGGAAATGAAAAAAATTGATTTTTTATGAAACCCTATATATTTTTAGACAAGTCGATTGGATTTTTTTTTTCTGACTTCAGAACTATATACAATCTTGTATATTGCCTAGATTTGTATCAGCCGTTTTTTCTGTATTATGTTTTAAAAAAGCAAAAATTGCAACCAATTATAGTAGCATTGAAATTCGACAAGGAATCTTATATAACAAGATTTCGATACCTGGAAATTTAAAATTTTGGTATTGGCCTATGGTAAGCCCTATGCTTGAGGTTTGCATCGAGCAACTTGTTCCAATTTATACAGAATGTTTCTAAAATACTGACCTTTCGACTAGGGATAAAAACTGCTTCAATTACATTTTTTCAAATAGAATACTCCGTATATTAGTTAAAATATGGAAATACCATTAAATTACTAATGAAACGATATATCATGTTTCTACCTAATAGGTCAGTTTCGAAATAAATGGACATTTTTGCAAAAATTCTATCTCGACCTATGTCAAAATATCCATGAAATGTTATTTTCATTTGTCATCTTAGTTATGAAGACAGCTTCTGTGCGCTTTTTATACAGTTTAGATTTTATTATTAACAAAATAGAAAAAAACAATTATTCGAAAGAAGTTTTAATGAAACTATTTATTCTTCTTATTCTTCCAGGACTTGGATGAATTCGACGATTCATCATAAAAGTGAAACTTTATTTGGTTATCGTTTAGCAAGCAAAACATGTTGATTCAAAATCTTTCTTGAAATGCCTTTAATTAACCACGTGTGGATTATGATCCGCCCAGAAATGCTTATTTCGTCAATTGAAAATGAAAATGGATAGATGAATGGAAAATTTGGATTCACTTGTCCAAACTAAGTTAGGTCTTAAAAAAAAGGTCTCGGTGTCAGACTTAGCCTGAAGCCAACTTAACACGAATGAAAATGGTGACGCATTTTGCATGCGCAGATCGATTAAGAATGCCGAATAGATAAATAATCCGTTGGAACAAAAATCCTAGCTCATTCTTTTATTCATTATTAAAAAAAAATTTAATCTAATACGGGGTATCCCAGAATATATGTGGGCATGTCCTCGGATTTGTACAGGGGACGTTAAAAAAACATAACAAGTTCCTATAAAAAAATCCAGATGGCCCCCCTACAGAGATACAGGCCTCTAAAGGAGCCACCTGAGAATCGATTTTTTGAAAATAACTTTTAGAATACTTCTTGTAATTTTATTATTTTTTCATGCAATGAACAGTAGATATCATTTCTCTTAAAAGGACCCATAAATACTAAAATAATTACATCACATTTCTTAAAAACTCAAAAAAAGTCATAGCTGATCAGCTAGGATTGTCGTTCCAACGTATTCCGTAGCTATTCGGCATCCTTAATCGATCCGCACATGCAAAATGTGTCACTATTTTTATTCGTGTTAATTTTCCCATACCCAAACTCATTGATGAGCTTCAAACTCCAACGATCACCATCAAACTGTTGAAGCAAGTTGATGTACTGATCAAGGCTGGAATATGATGCATTGTTCATCCAGCCAGAACATCGGCAGATGCCTATATACACGCTCCCATCAGAGATGTCGGACCGGGCTTCTTATCGATGAGGAAGCATGTGCCGATGATCATGCTGAGTCCGTACAAGAACGTCCTTCAACAAAACCCAGACCACGTCACTATAGCTCTGACCGAGTTGCCCTATGTTTCAAAAATGATGGCAAAACTAGATGCATGGACCGGTAATCTTGGGAAATCCGGTCGCCATATCGCTAAGCAATGGAATAGGCAACTAGATGAGGGATACTCAGGCAACGGTCTGCTCCAGGGTGGGGCGAGTAAAACAAGTGGAGACTGGTCCTGAAACCTCCGTTCTGGTCCGGTGGCGATTACGTGAAATCCATCCAGTTACGCNGAAGCGCGGCGTTGTAGGGCATGGTGCATGGAAACTAAATCTCTGTCTCGCGTACTTCAGAAATGTCCTGCAGGTCATACGAGACGTGTCCAAAGACACGACGTCATTGTGAGGGAGGTAGCGTCTGTCGCCACGGAGAAGGGGTGGTCGGGTGATATCGAGCTCACGATCCGCTTAATTAACGCTTAATCAGGGAGCTGGTTTGTAAGACTCTTATCGGTGGTATTTTGATACATAGGCACTTCAACGCTCAATGTCTTGGGTGGCGATAGATGGTTCTTGTGTCGTAAGTGTCCTAGTATTGCGCTTAGGTACATCTTTTATATACTACTAGCAGAGTAAATTTTTGTAAAGTCCACGACATAAGAACGTTAGGGCTTCACTCGAGGGACAGTCAGGGCTTCACCCAAGGCGAAAGAACCGTCAAGACATATGGCATTCGGGCACAGCATTTCTTTTATATCCGGTGGAGGATAACATAAATTCCATTATTGCGCTGCACGGTGATGAGGCGGCAAAATGATGATCTGTTGACGGTGAGGTCTACGATCTCCCTGACGAGTCACATTAGCTGCCAAGCCGATGTCATATGAAATAGCTTTCTGATTAACTTCAGGCTGGGCATATTGTGTATCCACCAGAATTGTTTCACAAAATCCGATTCTCCGATGATAGTCTTCTGGCTTCAGGGCTTGGACTTTTGTGAAATTGCATGCTTGATCAGGATTCCTTGAATGGGACTATTTGGATAAACCTAAATCATATGCGGCACTTCGGAAGTTTCACGATATGCATGGAAGTATGCTAAAACATTTACAATGTTGTTTTCATTACAGGTTACAGGTTTTGGCAACTTCGGTTCAGCTTTCAGTTTAGTGCCATAATTAATGAAATTGTTTTGTATACACACAAACTGCGTTGCAGTAATTTGCTTTAAATTGGGATTGATTTTGTTGAATTCTCTGCCTGTCCTTGCAACAATTTGATCACATTGCTCGTGAAGAATAAATAGTTTCATAAAACTTCGTTCGAATATTTGCCCATTTGGTTAACAATTTAATTTAAACTGCATCAAAAGTGCACAAAAGCTATCTCTATAACTTGACTGTCTGACAAGCTTACAACTCCTTTGAAGAATTGCAAAATCTTCAACTATGTCATGGCTATTTTAACAAGTACGTCGAAATAATATAATTTTTGATATAAGATATCCATTTATTTCGGAAATTTTACGCTTTAGGTATCATAGTTAATTTAATGGTCTTCCCGTATTTAAATTAATATATGGGGTGTTCTATTTGGAAAAGAATAATTTGAGCAGGTTTTATCTCTATTACAAACTCGACAGAGAAGCATGGACATAAGAGAAAAGTGCCATATTGACGACATAGTGAGATGGATAAGATAGAGGAGAAGAGACTAGTCAAAATAGTACGTAACAACCTACCCACACGGAAGGAGACGTACTGGACGTCCACCAAAGAGGTGGCGTGACAGTTGGCAATCAACTTCACAGGAAGTGCTGCAGAGAAATCAGAACTGAACAGGCGGTACGCCTTCTATACGATGATGATTATGTTGATGATGATGAGGTTTCATCTCTAGCCGAAATGTCAGTATTTTCAAGACATCCTGTATAATGTTGATCAAATTGTTGTACGCTAGGCTCAAGCAAAGAGTTTTCCTAACCCAGTACCAAAAATTGAAATTTCCAGGTAGCGAAATCTTGTAATACACGATTCCTTGGTGCCATGTTTTAATTGAACATAATGAATGTTGGTGGTGAGTGAGCGCATTATACATCAGGTGATGAATTTCAACTATCTGGGGGTACAGGTATCGAGCAGCAGAACAGTACAGTGAATGAGGTGGACAACCAGATCAGGAAAGCCGTAAGAGTATCAGGGTGTTTGCAAAATATAATTTGGAAGAACAAATATATGACCACAGAAAACAAGACATGAATTTATGAGACCTGCGTCAGGCTCATAATGAACTACGCCGCCGAGACAAGAGCTGAAACGTCTGTTACCAAAAAGACAATGAGAACAGCGGAGACGAAAATCCTAAGAACAATAAAAAACATTGCATGACAGGATAGGCACCGAAAACACCAGTGTACCTATTCTTGACGACTAGGGAGTAGAACAGCCAAGAGAAGTAGGCGGGGTTTTGTGACAGCCGTCCGAAACAGTATTCTTGAAAAAAAGTTGAGAGGGAGTCGCTCCCCAGGGAGGGGGAATTATCGACTGGTACGACCCAGTAGAAGGCTTCTCCTAGGGGTTTCCAACCTGAAATGCTATTCATTTATGTCACCTTTGTGATCTGTCATTTATGTTTTGTTTAGAGACACGATTTTTTAACGGAATTAAATAATATTATCGTAAATGCCATAATAACTGAGGATGTATATGATGCCATGGAACAATTGGGGAATCCAAGGGATACCTAGGACAAGACTAATCCCTTTGATCTAACAGAGAATAAATTTGTAGGGCTGTTTAGAATTCCAAAAAATCTTTGCCGAGAGTTGGTGAAGATGGTGTTGGAACTATTGAATTCTTCAATAAAATAGACATTTGTATTCGAAATAAATAGATAGAAAAGCCATGTTACTGCCATTAATAAATCGACAAACCGTTGATCTATTTATGGTCTAACTTGCGACGTTTTAGTTCGTTTCCTCAATTTTTGGCAAATTTTTTAGACCAACGAATTAAAGTGTGCCCCTTGTAGGTAATATGTGGTATACATATAGGAAAATGGGGACCAAAAAACTTTCAAAAACCCTAATCCTTCAAATCCAAACTGGAATTAAAATAAAGTTCTCTGTACCATTGGCGTGTAAGTATACAATGGCATAAGCCTATTAGTCTGCGATGAATTTATTTTCTACGAAGAAGAAGAAGAAGAAGAAAAATATTTTTTTATATTTTGAAAACTGGTTCAGATAGATTTAGGAATCGTTAGGCGAAAACAATCAGATTTATAAAGGGAATATAAGTGTTCAATAATATACAGTGTGTCTCATTTAAAATATGATAGTTGTAACCTTACATTACGTACACATACAAATGTGCAGATAGATCGTGCATCGCGTTCCTAAATGTCTAATACGCTATCGACCGTGAATCACCCAATAAACGATAGAAGTGGACTTCAAGGGTTTTGACTTTTAAATGAAGAATGCGACATAATAATGTTCTTGAAAACATATCGAGACGTTTTTACAAAATGTTGTAGATTTTAGGAGCTAAGACCGGCGCATATTTTGCAATAAAACAATTTTGTTTGTTAACAAAACTAATGTTTTTTAATAATTAATTTGATTTATTTATCATTTGTTGCAAGTTTCTTGCTATTGTCCATTAAAATAAAACTTTTTTCATTATTTATATTTTATACTCTAGCGTTACATATGGTCCATTTTAATCGACGGTTTCTTTTTGCTTTCCGGTGTCATTCGTTTACACACAATTTAGAAAAAATTACACCGCCTCAGTCAATTACCCAAATAATCTTAAACTGACAATAAGTCAATTAAATTAGATATTGACAAACGAAATTCCTACAACCTAACGTTCAAAATTAAAACACCTTAATTTCAGAATCGGCTGAATTGTGCTTTTCCGCAACGCATTTCCAAAATATTTCCGTTCTTCTGTATATCTTCCCGAAAAACCCAGTCTATGAGATTAAAATAATATTTTCTTGTTCCCCTGGTGGAAAGTACCCAGTTCGCCACTCATTACAATGACAATTTATCATTCCGCCCAATATTCATATGTATTACCTTCAAGCGACGGCGGAACATCCACTTTCGTCTATTGTACCGTAATATACTAATTTGCTGAACGTAAAGATAAAGAGTGGCAACGCGGCTGCATAATTTTCATTAAAATAGTTAATATTTTATGTAATGAGCCATGACCAAAAAAATGATTAGTAATTAAAATAGTTACTAAATTATTACCAGAATGACAACACATTTACTCGCTGAAAAACAGGCGGAAAGAATTCTCGGACGAATGAAACACTAGTTGAATCAAGGCTTTTTAGCCAATTTGCGGTACGTGTAACTAATGCATACGGCGCTAGTTTTCTTCGCAAATTAAGCTTCTAAGAAACTCTAAGAAAATCATTACAACTGTCAATAAAAACCAATTGCTCATATGAGATGATGGCAACCCATATGGTTTTTGAGGTAAAATTAGTAACTAAATCGCCAGTTTTAGTGCTCCAGCTGAATTTTTAAACTCATTACCTAATGATGTTTTTCCACTAAGGCATTTTAAACTAAAATGCGCAAAAATCAATTAATCAAATATTTCCTGTCAATTAACATTTATGTATAAACTATGTTCCTTACTTACCAGTCACGGTGATCACGTCTCCTCTTTTGAATTCCAGCTCCCCTACTTCTTGTGGCGTGAAATCATAGAGGGCTTGGACTAAATACTGCAACAAACAACAAGGAGGACATTAAATATTAACTCTGGAAATTGAATTGTTGATCTAAAATAGTTGGCATTATCTAGCAAAGGATCAACCTCAAAATATTGATAACGTACTTCATCTGCCACCATGTCCCTCAATTTTACATCTTGTGATCTGGAAACGGACGAGGTTCTGTGGTACTCTACAAGCTCATTGAGCGAGTTAAATTTGACTACCCACAAGAAGAATTTGCCTTGTGCGTCGCGCAGTACTTTGAAGTGTTGAACCCCATCAGAGCATCTGCAATTTTCAAACATAGTTTTTGTTTATACTTTTATTTACGATTTTTTTAAGAAACAACGGCATCAGTTTATTTATTTGCAACTCACTTGACTGATAAAGAAAAGTCTCCTGGACTGGTTTCACTAATTCTAATCAGAAACGCTCCTTCGTGTTTGTTGAGCAGCAGCTTTTCCGAATCACTTCTGGTTATTCTGCCGTAATACCAACTAAAATAAAATATTACAATCAAATCAAATGTTATATTGTGTCCTCACATTACACTAAAGCTTATTGCAATGAAAAAGACCCACATTAAATATTTCTCTGCATTCCAAGAAGCACACAGTAAAAAACTGAATAATACTTTGAAGAAGAACATTAGACTTACTCGTGTGGTTTCATTTCAATGTAATTACTTGGGATGAGGCCCTCTCGCCCATCCAATTCAGCTCGGTACCAGTTCATATCATCCTCCATATTTAGCACCTGGAATAAAAAAATCACATATAGAGTTTGTTTTCAGTCTGGTCAATGACCTTAAAGACTACAGCAGATCCAATGAAATTTGAATGGGAAAATAGTGGCGGTTTTTGAATGCTACATCGGAGGTCAATTTTGAGTTTTAAAATTTGACTAAGGAGTATAGATAAAAGAGGATACAGAAGAGACAAAAAAGACTGCGTTTGGGTTTATTTTTAAAACACTACTAACTACTTAACTAACTAAGTTTCATATCTATGAATTGAAAAAATGCGAAAATATGTTATACAGGATGTCCGCTTAGGTAGCCGAGATACTATGAATTCTATGAGCAATTTTAAGCACAAAAATTAATCTTTTGACTTTTCCTGCATTCTGAAGGGTTCATATCTGGGTTTGAATTGACCAAATCCTAGCTAGTAATAGAAGCTTTCATCAGGTCTGTTAGAAAATAAACAGTCTGCTAACGGTTTCTACATTTTCAATTTGCCTAATCTGATGATTTCTATATTAAAAAGTTATAATGGAATCACTCAACATTCTTGTTTCACATTTAGATGGCAACTAACAAAATTATTTTTGTAAATTTTTTTATTTTATCTGAAACTTTAACTCATTTTACGTGTTTCTTGTCAGGATGAGAACAAGCAATTATCAATTAATAAGAAAAGGTAACTAATATTCATTTTCAAAGCAATTGTGATTTTTAATCCACCGACCATTAATGGTGTTTATTAACCATTTTGCTTGCATAAAAGCCCCTTACTAATTCATTCCGACTATATTATTTTTATTATAAAACAAATAATTGTACCACCACTAAATATATTCAAGTATCTGAAAAAACAAAAATCACACGCATCCACTGTATTTTATAGTCTAAATATCGTTTTCTTTTTTTTGTGTCGTTTTCCTCTTCTGAACCGCATAAATTAGCCTAATAGAATTTTTCCTCATCTACCTACTCAAAATCAGTTTTTCTCAATAGCTCGTGGCAGTTGTAACTTTAAATACGATTTAATTAAAACTAAGAAAAATGTTAATTGGCATTGAAAACCATTCAAAACTGCACCTTTTTTGTCAAATTTCATTTCTTCACATCATCGATTTTCATATTTTTTCCCCTTGAACGAGTTGAGACCACAGTGAGTTTTACAACAAGTAGAAATTAAAACTTGAACCAGGCGATATTTTAACAAGGGATTTTCATAATATTCATATTCAATTGATATAAAAACGCATTTGGTTCGTTATCACTCACTTCAATTAACAACAGTACAAAATCTCTACAATGTTGTGTACATTTTGAAATAGTTGTGCTGGTAAAAGATAACAAGGTAAAGCTTATTTAAGTAGAGCTGATAATGGAAAATAAATAACTGTTAAAGTTATTTATTCAATAAGAAAAACGATGAATAACGATTTGTATTTGAAAAAGTTTGCAAAAAATGCCATTTTATCTGGTTATTTTAAAAATTTCTAAACACAATTTAATAACCATTTTCATACTACAAAGCAGAAATGACATCTCAAGGCTTATTTCCAAATGGTAGGTTGAAGGTAAAAGGGGCTTTCAAGGTTCACTTTATATTGGGAAATACCATAGTAAACAGAAGCCATACTTTACAAAATTATTTGAACAGCATTAATGGTAAATAACCCTGTGTTGATATCAGAAGTTTCTCAGAAAGTGGAAAATTGATAGGGGGCCCATTAGAGGAGTCCCACTATGTATAGCCACGCCTTTTCGTAATAGCTTGGGCCAAAACACAATCTTTGCAAATTACATTTGCATATTGAGTGAAAAAAATCAACAATTCGCTATCTACTACTCTACTAACTATACTATAGGTGGGACAGTCAACTTACACTTACTTACACGAATTGCAATTTCCAAAGAATTACTGATTATTTAAAAATAAACCAAGTTATTTGGTAAATAGCATAAAACCAACGGAAGATAGAACGATAGCTTAATCTACTGAGACTTAGCATGTAAGATAACTTTAATACAAGTAAGCTAATAAGGAAATGTAATTAATAGCTGTGTTAATACATTGTATAGTGGAGAAAACGAGTTGGCACCTTGGCAAACGATTGAAAAATAAAAACGAAAATTCAATGTCAATGGGAAAAAAATAAAATAATATCATACGAAATACTTTACCTTCAGGACTTGGCCCTTTCGGAAGCTCAGCTCATCGTCAGCTGTGGCAGTAAATTCGTGTTTGGCTACAGCCTCCATTCTGCTAGAACGTATTGGCTAGACTCTTTTTTACAAAATTGGAGGTTTTATCACTAAATTACGAACAATCCAGTTGCCTGGGGGCTAGTGATTCACTACTAGACGTCAAAAATCAGGTGGAAAACAAAGCCTACTGCGGCTGAAGCGAATTCCTCTAGATCTTTACTCTATTTCGATTCACTCACAACTTTTCACAGAGATATCTTTACACTCTGTTAAAGAAACTGCCTATTTTTGTTGATGAAATTTAATACCAGGCAATCAATTGGAAATATGTATTTCTCATCTCTGACTGATTATTTTGACAGCCGAACAGAATATGCGCATGCCTCAATAGAGAGCTAAATTCACTCACCGTAAATAGAGAGATCTTAGGCCCCTTAATATTACGTTGGCCTTAAACGCTAAACGTTATTGTGATCATGCGTAGTGTTAAAAAAATGTGTTCAGGCAAATAACGTTAAGTGCGTTTTTAGTTTTTGATGCCGCGTTTGCTGCACTCTTAATAAAATAAACCTCACTTTATTGTTTTCTTATCCCGTTTTGTTTGGAAA